CCGACATCTGGTGAAAATTTCATGCCATTAGCACCTCTAGTAATATATTTACTGAGAAAAATGGTGACGTGTTCAATACTTATTTTACCTGCTGTAGATGCTTTTGGCAAAACTGCCCAACATGAGCGTTATCATTAAGTGGCATCGCTGCAAATTCCTGGGACTCGCCATGGGACCCACGTAATTACAAAGCACTCACACCCATCTCTGCTGTAATCTCACGGCGCCCACGTCACCGCGTGTTCCTTCACAGCTAATTACCAAACCTCTGTGAAGACGGCGTGCGCCCCCCTCCCTCTCTCCCACTTCAACAGGATGATTGCTGTGCGTTTTCAGTTAGCCGAGACACTCTGAGGCGGCGGCGAACTGTGATGCTCCACAGGTGGGAGAGCTGAGTGGGATGGAGACAGAGCGATCAGGGGAGATGAAACAGTTCTCAAAACTTCACTCAGTTTGTTCTGTTTTACCAGGAGAGTTTATTATTTACAGAAGCTGATATACAAATAAAAAAAAAAACATATGCAAATTTATTATTATTTTTCATGCAGCTTTGACTGAATTTCCAAGAAATATCAATCCCAAGTTTGTGTTTTGTGATCTTACAACATTGCAGGTTAAAACTGAGAAAATTAGTCCAAACGATTCTTTACATTTTTAATTTTCTTTATAACGCAAATATTTTTATTTGATATGCTACAAACCAGTGATCATCATCTGCTGGTCTGCGGGCCATATCTGGTCCCTGAGTTCAATTCATTTGGCCATCAGCACTCCTAGCGGCAGAGTTGAAAAGTTGTAACTTCGAGTTGTAGTTCTAATTAAAATATAGACACAAATTTAAGAAAAATACACATAAATAAATGATAAATTATGAGTCTGTAACTTTAATTATATCTGTGTAAGTGTTATTTTACACATTTGTAACATTTTTTCCTGTGACTACATTCAGAAAATATTTGTGTATTTTTTTTTTTGCAGGTGAAATTTTTAAATACAAATCTTTACTGCAGGTACACAAATTTAATTTTTGCAGTTGAATTTGTTTCACAGGTACACAAACCATATCTTTACAAGTTACAAATCAAAAAATTTTCAGGTGGGTTTCGACACATCTATCTTCAGAACTTTAATCCTATGATAAATTTATCTGAATTCACCAGTTTATTTATTTTCTATTTTATTGATTATAATTTAAGATAATTTACAGAAAACTCCAAGTTCAAAACTCTAGAGCAGGGCTATTCAACTAAATTGCTCCAGGGGCCACAATTAATGCAGACCAACAGCACAGGGACTGAACATCCAGCAATTAAAGTCTTCATGTAAGTATGTCTAACTAAAAGAACTTATAGCAATTAAAGTAGAAAACCAGGGGCTTGGGCTTAAGAGATGAATGAACTAATTGGCGGGCCAAACTTTGGTCTCTCACGGGCCAGATGTGGCCCGCGGGCCGCCAGTTGAATAGTCCTGCTCTAGACCAGGGTTATTTTTATAGTTAACTAAAACTAACTAAATAACGAAAACTGAAATTGAAAAATACATTTTAGTTAACTAAAGTAAATAAAAACTGTAATAAAAAATGATAATTAAAACCGTATAATCATTTTACAAAAATAACCACAACTGACTGAAATTATAGATAGAATATCCTTAGTTTTAGTGTTTGTCAATTTATTTTGAGCTGTGTGGACTGATTAAACAAATCGTTATTTATTTATATATTCATTTCAAATTGAGTAGTTTCACATTAGCCCTGTGATGGACTTGCGACCTGTCCAGGGTGTACCCCGCCCCTCGCACTGTGACTGCTGGAAATGGGCACCAGTGACCCACGCAACCCTGAAAAGGAAGAAGCGTGTACAGAAAATGGATGGATGGATGGATAGTTTCACATTAGCTGTGGGCAGCTTACGGTTGCTGGTTAGTTAACTCACAGAACACCACAAACTGGAGGATGTATTGGAAATATGTTAATTCAAACTAAAAAAAACTTAATACTAGAACTAATTAAAAATAAACTAAACTAAAACTAAGCATTAAAAATGCATAATAACTAATAAAATCTATCAAATCCACTGTAAAAACTAATTAAACTGAATTAAAATAAAAAAGTCACAACGAAATAAAACTAAACTATAAGGAAAAAAACCAAAACTATTATGACCTTGCTCTGGACTTAGACTCATAGATCAAAAGACTATGAGAACTAGAGGTGCAGAGGGTGCTGCAGCACCATCTGATGAATGAAAGAGAACATGCATGTCAAAATACAGTTAATGGATTAATGGAAACACAAATATCACATAGTATTTTGGTATGTTCAAAACATACATTTTTATATCCATTGTCTGATAGAAAAACATGAATTTTATGGTAGATATTTGGTATTATGGTATTTCATGAGTGTTTAGTCATAGACATTGGGTCTCATGCAAGAACATGTTCGTATTCTTATCCTAAATTTCTCTTATTTTTGGTCGTACGAAGGGTTCGTATGAACATGTCACATCAGATTCAACAAACTCTATCTTCAGGAAAAGTGTGTAAATGAGCTGCGTAATTTCCACCTGTTCTATCCAGCTGCTCGTGCACGCGAGAGGAGATTAGCATAATTACCACCCCAAAAACACCATATAAGGCTATGTTTCCTGCCCCACATACCAGGAAGTGTCCATTCATAAATGACATCGCAAAGTAAAAAAGAAGAACTTGACGAGTTCGGAGATTGTAGTCCTGCTCTCCGAGATCGAGAAAAAAAATTGTTCTCTTTAGCAGCATCATGTGGAATTAAAGGAGCTGCTTAAAGACATGAAATGTGCTGTTAATGTCGTGTCTCCTGTGAGTCGTTACAGTCACAGAAATAAAAATCTAAATCATATTCATCTCTCTCTAGTCCAGCTCCGGTTTTTCTTTGGTCAAATATTTTTTAATTAAAGTGTAAACAACTGTGTTACTGTGTTTACATTTATTCAGAAGAAGGGTGGTTGCGCACCACTACACCCCACCCCCCGGCCTGGCCGTCTCCCCCCCTCCCTGCGGTCGCAAGTGTCAGATGCGGTTCTGAAAAGACGCATTCTAAAACGTCTCCAAACTTCTATTAATGCATAATTTAAGTTGTTTTTTAGTTTGAGATCTTCATATTAATATTGTAGTGTTATACAACAGCATTAAAAGACAATTTAACTTAATCTAATCAATTTATGTCGTTAAAATCTAATTCCAGTTCAAACAGAATAGCCTACTGTCAACATAATTATGGAGTGTGATTTATTTTCAACTCGAAATATTTTCTAAACAACGAAATATAAAGTTATTAGGGAGGAAAATCCGCCTGGATAACAGCYGACTGACTGCTCGTAAAATATACGACAGGTCTGGACCACACGTGAATTTTTGTTCGTATCTGAAAAAAATCTTAGAATACGAAAACATTGGTGAATGCCACAAATCCTCCCAAATCACTCTTACGCACAACTTAAGAACAAATCTGTGCGTACGAACGGTTCTTGCATGAGGCCCATTGTGTCACAGCTCACACACACCTGAAACACATTGGCAGGGATTGATGATGAGTTCATTGTGATTGAGTGAGATGCGTCCCATGAGATGATACTGAAAGTTACCATGAGCATGTTGTCACTGGTGACTGAGTTGGCCAAGTCAGAAACAGAGGAGCTGGCTTCGTGGCTCTGCCCCTGGCGGCGTCCAGTTTCATCTGGGGTCTGACCCCTGGAGCTGCTGCCTGCTTTGTTCCCAGGAGTTCTATTAAAACAAACACAGACACAAACTATTTGTTTATATTCAGCGTTAGTGAACAGTAATTGGCCAAAATCTATTTACCCTCTCCACGCACTTCTTTATACTTTCACAATAAAGCTGTTTTCATGATTTCAACAAAAATGTATCATCACCCTGCAGAAGACAAAAACCACACACAATAACACAATATGCAAACCAATGTGTGTCGTTATTTACCAAAAGATGAAATCCTAAATATGACACTTTCTCCACTGTGTTGCATCATTTTATTTTCAGGATCATCATGTCAGTGGCAGGAAACTACAGAGACCAATTACTCAAATTTTGAAATCTTTTGCCATTCTTGCATGATAAAGGATTTCAGCTGCTCAATGGTCTTCAAAATGAATCAAATGTTTTCAGTGGGAGACAAAGCTGGACTACAGATGGGCCATTTGTGTAATCAGACCGTATCACTCTGGAGCTATACTCATGTGGTTTGGATTGCGGTTTAGCATTGATTTTCTCATATAAATGAAGCATTCAATTAAAAATGCAGCAAGGCATGATATGTTGCCTGTGTATTCAGAATTAATGGTGCTCAGACGTGCGTAATACTGTTATACCACTGTAATATTTCAGAAAATGCTTGTGATAACAGGATAGATCACATTTCTTTAAAAAWTATAATTCTAACAATTATATTTTCCATAATACTTCAGGATACATTACTGTATGAGGACCTTTTTCTAACACACACACATTTTTCCAAAATCTTTAATAATAATAATAATAAATTGAAACACAATCTTACTGTTAAATCAGATGTTGAGTGTGACTTTACAATTAAATATTTGTTAACTCATCCCGACTTTTTTGAAACAAGTTGCCAGTAACAAATTCAAACCGAAGCAAATGCTTTAAAAGTCAATATGATTTTAGGTTTTAATATTTAATATGTTGTTTTATTTTAGATTAGTTTTTATATTTTGCCCACTCTTTAACTTTATTAAAACAAAAACACTTTTATCATCCTGCAGCAGACAATAATTATTTGACAAAAGTGCAAAAATTAAATGCTACCAATGGGGTATTTTTTGTTGCATTGTTTTTATTTTTTCAGTGATTTGGGAACTAAAATGATCTAATTTTAAATGAAAAGTGTTATTATTTTTTTCATGTTAAAGGATTTCAGCTGGACTCTCTTCTTCACCTCTTTACCACACTCAATTGACTCTTAGTACATGAAATCCTGCAGTTTTCTGACCACTGCTCCTTGCAGCGTCACTGTTCCATCTGCCTCCATCTCAGTCACACACACTCTGCCTTCCTACAGCTGACTTTCAATCCTTGTAAATAAACAGTTAGTTAATAGTTAGTCAGGTTTGGCTGAGAGCAGGGACGGCCCTAGCCAATTTGGCGCCCTAGGCAAGATTTCAGGTGGCACCCCTTGCGTATATTTCTAAATCTCACCCCCAACTTACATACATTCATATATCAAATTAAATCGTTTTGTCTTTGATATTATTTTTTATCTTTAGAAAACAGGTTGTCCAATTAAAATAGTTAACAGCAGAATTTAATTGAAACAATACCAGAAGTCATACCTGCCAACATCTGCTGACAGTAGTGACACAAAAATGAGAATTTTTCATCCATTACATTTTACTAAATTCTTGGGTTTAACAAAACATAAAATCATTATTTTATGAAAGCAGAACACTGAAAACTAACTTTAACCTGAACTTTATCTGCAATAATAACTGAAACTTCCATTATCATTATTTTTTTAAATTATGAAATATTTTCTGCATCATATACCACCTCATGTAGTAACAAAGCAGGATGAGAAACCCACAGAGCACTGTACTTTCATAAACCTGAGTAACCAGTGATTATTCTACAGACTAAATCAACAATACTCTGAGAAAAAGTTATACACTTTTTTGGGTCCCCCCATTTGTGGCACTCCCTAGATGGACAGCGCCCTTAGAAAGTAGGAAAAACAATTATTTAGGGTCAACTTACTGTTTAAAAAATGCCACGTCTGCCTCTAAAGACAAAAACTAAAATGGAAAAAATAAATAAATAATCATTTGACCTAGATTTCAAAGATTTATGAAATAATATATTTAATAGGGTTAAAAGGTAAATGCTAGTGCAATTACAGAAAATGTCACCTGGCCTAAATGTACGCCATCAATCAACATACCAGATAAAATACACAATCTTTGAACATTAGTCATTCATCTGAAAACAAAAACAAAATAATCACATTTGCTCTCAGCTCATTAAAAATCATTTGGTCATCAGAGAAAATGTAAAGACCTTTTCCCAAAGACATATTGACTAACAAGATAACAATGAACGCAGTTCATCAGACACGAACAGGTGAGCGGTTACGCACAAAGTTAAAAGTAAAAATCATATTCAGTGAGTTTGTCTGAGAGAGACGATGTGAGTAAAGCTACATTTGAAGGGATAAAGGGAAAAGATTGCTGCAGGTAAAACTCAGAGGATTAACTGACTGAACAAAGTGAGGTTATTGACTCAAATTGATGTGAGCCTGAGATATCACCAGGACACACTAAACAGAGAACACACAAACACAAGCTGGGAAAAGGATTGGGGGGGGGGGGGGTTTAAAGCCAAGAAATGAAACCGAACAAATACAGTTTGAGTCCGATGCTCTAAAATAGACAAAAGGAGCAAGGACAAGCAGAGTTAGAGGATGAGACGCGGGGATGAGAGACAGACAGACAGGGTTTGTGGAGCAAAGAGACAAGCAGAAGCAGAGCGACACAGAATGAGGAGCGCAGAAAGGGACATGGTTTGGAAGAGAGAAGAATTGATTCGTCACTCTGTGTTGATTTCCTGTGATCTGCAGGTCAGAGCACCAACAATGCAGGACTGACTCCGTGCAAACTACAATATGAGAGGCCTCTTCTTCAAATGCAGCTCACCCTGACAGATCTCTATTTATGAAGACGTCTGAAACTTTACACAATCTTTCCTTCAGCGGATCAAAAATGGTGCTTATTATCYCTCCCATATCCACCCCTGACACATCAGGGAGCTGCATGTTACCTTAAATAACTACAGTAGCAACACCCTCTGCCAGCCACTTGACTAGATGATTACAAAGCATGCCCTAACATGTTAATAATTGCTTTTTCTTTTGTGCGGCTGGGAAAAAAACCCTCAACTGACACATTATTTAGCTCACAATTTTCTCTCAGTCATTATATGTGAAATGGATTACTACCAAAATTATGTCTTTTTATTATTTTTAAGAAACAATTGCATCAAAATGTAATTAATTTATTAAAACAGTTAAATAGTGATCCAACAGGGTTATCTCATGTTTGTGTGATGCAGTGAGGACCGATTTGAAAGCCGTTGATTGTTGGCAACATTGAAGAGCGTCGGCAAAGCTACAATCTCAGCAGCAGCCCGTTCGAAACAACAGATTACTGATAAAGATCTATCACACACTGGGATTGAACCGATTTATTTGTAGTTCATCTAGAGATCCACAAAACACAGGTAAACACTCTTTTGTCATTTCCTACCTTTTCCTCTCAGCCAGATCAGAGAGCCTCTGAGCCACCTGCTAAGTTTCTTTTGTTAGCCATTGTTTGTTTGTTCAGTAGTGCTGCTTCTGTTATTCTAAGACATCTCAGCAGCAAATTCTGCATATAACATTTGAAAAGTATTAAAAATCTAAAAAGCTCTCATGACTTTAGGTTCAGCTACCACTGTCAGGGGTGGGTGTTATTGATAGTATTGATACTAAGATTAGCTTCAGTATTGGATTGATACTAGCGTGATGAGACTGATACTTTTGTTTGCACTTTATTTGCATCACAGATTTTATTTTTTACAAATAAAATTAAAAAAATCATTAGTGCAGAGGATCCAAGTAGTTTGGAGATAGTCATTAAACAAAACTCTTCCTGTTCCTTGTACCCATGTGCATTGGAAGGTATTTTTTGTTGTGTTACTCACTTTGTTATATTTATGTTTAAATTTTTTTATTTCATTGCTTTTTTTTTTGTTAATTTGCACTAGTGACTTTTTTCCCCAACTATGTGTAGTAGAAAGTAATACATGAAATATTTTAAATTTTCATACCGATACATTGTTTTATATTGTTATAGTTCATTTGTATTTGGCTATTTTTGTCTTGTGTTTTATTATGATTTATAACTATAACTAAAATTTACTATAATTAAAGGCAAAATCAAAGCAAAATACCAATATTTCTTGTAGGTATCGCAGATACAAGCGGCCAAAATGAGTTTCCTTAGAGATAGGGTGAGAAGCTCAGTCATCCAGGAGGGACTCAGAGTAGAGCCACTGCTCCTCCACGTGGAGAGGAGCCAGTTGAGGTGGTTCATCTGGTTAGGATGCCTCCTGGACGCCTCCCTAGTGAGGTGTTACGGGCACGTCCCACTGGGAGGAGGCCCAGAGGAAGACCCAGGACACAGTGGAGGGACTATGTTTCTCAGCTAGTCTGGGAACACCTTGGGATTCCACCAGAGGAGCTGGGTCTCTCTGCTTAGGCTGCTGCACCCSCGACCCAATTCTGGATAAGCAGAAGAAAACGGACGGACAGACAGACAGACGCCCACCATACTGTCAGTGGACCCCCTCAGTAAACCCCTTTAAAAACATTCTGGAGGCGCCCCAGATTGAGTTTGCATGTTGACCTGTCACTTGTCATGTTTCTCTAAACCTGTTTGTTATTTGAAAAATCTTGATTTTACAAATCACCTTATACTTAAAGGTTACAGGGGCAGTATTGTGTAATTTTTATCCACTTGGCTACCACAGGAGATTGAAGGATTTCTCAAACATGCATGAATGAGTCAAAGCAACACTCTGGGTGTGTTTTTAAAAGGGGACTGACATTATAACATAATATAAAAAAGTAGATTTTGCATAGCACACCCCCTTTAAGTTTAAACTAGAATTTCTTTGACAAATGCCCATCACTTTTTAGATGAACAGCCAAAATGCCT